AATCTCTGCTGCAGACGCCTTCCCACCTTAGGGCCCTGCCTGTCTTGCCTCCAGACACCTCGATAGTTGGGGATGGAACCTGTCCCATCCCTGGCCAGGGGGTGACCCCCAGGGCACAGCAGACCTATCCTGAGTCCCCACTGCTCCCCTCAGCAGTGTTTCAGCGGATCCACCTGTCCTGCTCCCCACTCTGTCTCTGGTGAATCCCTCACCCCTTGTATCTCTGACATTCTTTTAAAAAAAACCCCAAAATGATACCAAAAATGGGGTGCCTTTGCAACATTAAGGCGCTCAAGCGAGCGTGCTCCACGCCTGCACTGTGGGCAGCCATGCATCTTGTCCTCAGGCGTGGGGGGGGGGCTGCCTGCAACCCCACAAGCTAGATCCCAGGAGCACGCTGCTGTGAGAAATAACGGCTTGTTTCCCACCGCTGTTAAGAGTTAAAATAACTTTCGGTCTCCACAGCTTAGTAGACTCATACAAAACAACACAGTTTTGTTGTTTTTTTTTTTTTCCAACACAGTTAGTTATATAATAAATTGTTCCTGGCAGGGCCAGAGGAATCTCTGTTATTTAAATCTAGTTCATTTGGCGTTACTGGGATTCTCCAATAGCCAGAAAGTCTTATTTTGAAAGTGCCCAGCCAGAACCGCGACGACGGGTCTCTGTGATCCCAGCGGCAACAGGAGTCAGGTGCTCGGGCCCTGCAGGGGCATCACAGGGCTCAGGCCCCGCTGGCTACTGACCAGTCTTTCCCAGCACCTGGCATACCTGGGCCTGCACTGGAGTTGCGTGAGACTGGAAGAGGGAAAGAGCCACAGCCCCGGGGGCAGTGGCTGGACGTGAGGAGGGGTCCGGGGCCAGACCCCGAGGGCCTGTGACACTGAGTGCGTCCCCACTGCGGGGGGCCACGCGGGGTTCCCAAGAGGGGCGTGACTCTTCACACCACAGGCCTCTCCCACTAGTAGCTGTGAGGACAATGAAGGGGAGGGGGGGGAGTGGGGGCCGAGGAGCTTGTCCTTGTGCCGGCAAAAATGAGGGGGCTGGCGTTAGGGATGGGGGGAGATCACAGGACCTATGTGTCAGGCAGGATGGGCCGTGGGGTGTGGCCGTGTCCACGGCGCAGGTGAGACAGGGCACTCAGTGACAGAAGGGGTGCAAGCTCGGCCCGCCCTGGGCAGGGTCGTTCAGCGGGGAGACCAGGCTGGACCCTCGGGGAAGCAGCAGGCCTGGCCCTGGCCCTCCTGTCCCTGTTCCTCCAGAGACCGGTCTTCACTGAGCACTTCAGGAGGCCGCATCGAAGGCCCTCGGGCACTGATCCCAGAAATGCTGTCAGCTGGGCCGAGGGCCGGGCCTGACTCAGCCTCCGCCCCAGCCCCTGAGTGGCGCTGCTTGCTAAGGCTGGTGCGCCTTCTCCTTTCTGACAGTGAGAAAGGATTCCTGGCGCCCTCCCTGGTGGCGCATCCGGTTAAGCACTACGAGGCCAGCCACAGCCGCTTCAGCATGAGTTCGATCTCCGGCCAGGGAGTGACCCACAG